GACATGCACACGGGCCATATTTTTCGTTCTCTCGCTGCCTTCTCTTCTTCCTCCTCTTCCTCCTCCTCCACCTCCTCCATCTCCTCCTCCTCCTCCTCCTTCTCTCCACCATCTCATGCACATTCGTCCTCTACACCGTCGATCGTCTCAGCGTAACACCCTACATCGCGAGAAAAAGCGCACACCGGTGCGAGCCGGTTGTTCCTACTCAGCGGGCGAGTCGAACGCAAAACAAACACCCCCCCCCCGACTGCAACCCCCATTTCCAGCCGTCACGCCGTACGAGACTTCGAACGCTCATCCATAACACAACCCGTGTAACTTGCTCTTGCGAAACGCGCCGGGGTAGCAAACTGCACGTTCCGTTTCGGAAGAAGATACACGCCCCGAATGATACGTCGTCTTGTCGGATTGGGCTTCCCGATATCTGGTGCGATATCAGCCCTCTTTTTCTCACCCCGTTTGTTCCCACCGGTTGATCGCGCGTGGAATCGGCAATGGTTTTACCATTGTGTCTAATTGTCGTCCTGTGAAGAAGGGACGAAATTTACGGAAACGATGCCACCCGTTCGTGCGATGCACAGCCGCCGACATACGTATGCATACGTATATGTATAGAATATATGCACACGCGGGACATATATCGGGCTTGTAGAAAGCCGCTTAATCTCGCGGCGGATTCACATGAAATAATCGGGAGAGAGATACATCTCGGTAATTTCCAGTTTCTCCCACTCCGCTCCGGCGTCCGATTAAACCGGCTCCGGGCTATCGGATAGAACGGATGATGTTTTTACCATACTTCCTGTTTTTACGCGGCGTTGAAGAGGGTCACGACGACTGGTCGAGAGACCTGTCGCAATGATACAATACTCCCGTCCGATAGAAACACACACACACGTATACACACGTGTACAGATGCAGACCGTATACACGTGCGTACCTAACGCGTTTTTGGTGGAGTATACATGTACGTGTACATACGTATGTATGGCCATTCCGCAAATACATGGCCGCATTTTCACACATGCGGAGCTTTCCTAGTAAAAGCTATGTAAAGGGAAAGGGGGAAGGAATAATAAAGAGGAAGACTTTTCACTAAAGACGTAAGATCGTAAAAAATAACATGATATTAAAGAGGGTACTCCACGAGATAGATCCTCTTACGATTACTCGGTGAAAAATTTTACAATTATATAGTGAACGATGCATTTTGCGATGTGATTTTATCTATCTGACTTTTTATCTATATGACTTTGAGACGTGATATCTATTTTGACCGCAGATCGCGCGTGATAGATATCGGACCAATTAAAATCTCAATTGAGGAATACCACAAAAAAAGATAATACAAACTTGTTCAAAAATATGTTTGTCGTCGATATACTTAATATGTATTTTTTTTAAGTGGTTTCAATAATCCGGAAAAATAGCGTTTTATCTCGACGAAGGGGGGGAGGACTTTTCCTCCCCCAGTTATTCCGCTCCGGTTTACGAGACCGGTGGAATTTTCATCGCGAGTCCGACGGCACGGTACATCCTGATGATGTTTATTTTTCGCGCGTTTTGTAGCTGCGAGGCAAATAATATTTTTATTCGTGTCTCTCTCTCTCTCTCTCTCTCTCTCTGACTGCTACGTTACCTCAGCAATCAGCACGCGACGATGAGGGTAGTTGCCGCAGCGGTACGATGCATCCTTACAACAAAGCACACGCATACATGATCGGTCGACGTATCGACACGTAGGGATCGAACACACCGCGAATTTCGGTCAAGACGAACGGGTAAGAGTTTACGATGTAAGAGCGAGCACGTCGAGCGTCGGCATACCCTGAGGACGTACGAGGAGACGAGGACGACGGAAGAAAAGAAGTGCGTGGACGAAGGTGGGCAAAATTTGCGTCCGTGAACCGTGACCGCTCGTATAGCCTCCCAGTCGGCGAGAAAGCCGAGGACCCGTGTAATGGCTCACGTAGGTGAACCCGTGCACGCGGCTGAAATTTAAACCAGCACCACCACCACCACCACCACCACCACCATCATCTCCACCACCATCATCACCAACATCAGCGGCCACACTACTACCACACTAGGAGAGCACCCACCGGTACAAGCATCCACACACTACTGCCGCCACTGCCACCGGCGTATCACCACCCACCCTTCGTAGTAGAGAAAGGGAAAGAGCGCGAGCGAGAGGCGAATAGAGTGACGGGAACGAGAGGCGGAGTTGTGAGGGAGGCTAGCAACCCCCAGACCGGCGTCGCCGTCGTTTCGTCACGGAATCCACGCAGCGGACCGGTCGCCCCGCGCGCATTCCGACAAAATTCGGCGAGTTTCCTCCTCGCGGATATCCTTGGTCAGGCGAGGATCGACGAGGGAGAACGTACGAGAGCTTTACGTACGCTACGGCACCGCACGTCGCGTGTACCAAAATGGTGAAGGTCGGCGCAGCGCTGCCCGGCTCGTTTTCACTCGCGACTCGCGGAGAGAGAGAAAGAGAGAGAGAGAGAGAGAGAGAGAGAGAGAGAGAGAGAGAGAGAGAGAGAGAGAGAGAGAGAGAGAGAGAGAGAGAGAGAGAGAGAGAGAGAGAG